TCCAACCTAAGAGCGATGGCCTCCAACCTAGAAGCAATGGCCTCCAATCTAAGAGCAAAATCAGATTGCATACTTTAATAGTGATTTACCTAAGGTGTGCTCTTGGTGACTAATCGCATGCGAGGAAAGCTTCTCCAAAACTAACTACCAAACTGGCAACTCGGAGTAGAGGTCACACCCCAATGTAAATGGTCTTTTTCAGATTTCAGGTGCACTCAGAGTAGATCATCTACTCTGAGTTCACCTGCCACTTTAAGGGAGAACAAGGGTGGGTTCTTCTGAGAAGTTCTGGTGAAACGCCTCCCACATCTTTCTTGCGAAGCGTCACGGCTCTTCCCCCCGTCACGGTGGTCGACCAGGTCGCCTCGTTGGCCTCGTGACCCCAAAAACGACGCCCAACGCCGTCGCGCAGGTACCAAGTGATCTGAAGACTTTCACCGATTGGTCGCGCAGAAGGGTCCCAGAGCGTCATGTCGACGTTCTGGCGAAAGCGCCGCTGTGAGACTGCACCCACTTCATGGCCTCACCCTAGTCCTGGAGGGCTGGGGGAAGGAGGCCATGAAGGGCTAGAGTAATTCGCCTGTCCTGGAGGGATGGGACGGAAAGTCCAGCCCAGATCCGACGCAAGTGAACGTGCCAGCAGTGGCGACGGCGCAAGCGACGCTGCAATCATGGGGCTTAGATGGGCTTAGAACAAGCAATGGCGGAGGCCGGCCATGTCCCACACATATATGGGGATTCTCGCGGAGTAGTCCGTGTCGTTGTCCGCAGATCATGGGGTGTTGTGTAGAAACCTGCTATCATGGGACGAAGGCGACCAAGGTCGCTAGGCGATACAGGTCTGGACCACTGAAACTGGAAGGAAACGGACATGGGATGGCCATGGATGGCCAATTCTTGCAAGCTTTACTCCACACTGGAGATCCCTTGCATTTACACGAGATCTGGACCTCTGGGTCTCCCTTGCTACTTCCATTCAAGACATAGCCCATGTCCCCCAACCAGAGTCGAAGCCGCCCATGCTGCAAAAGACGATGGATCAAGGACGAGAAAGGAGTTGTAGCAAAACACTTGGTTCTACAGAAAGTTCAGCGTTTCTACCTGCAGTCCGTGGTTCTTTGATCCGATATCCAGCTCGGTAGGGCTTTTCTTCTCGTTTTGCCGATGCACTCACAGCTGTGCGACGATCTTCGCCGAACAAACTCTCGGCCGTTCCCCTCTTCTTTTGGCACCGGTCGCTCTTTTCCCCGGAGTGACCGAGTGAGCCTCGGGTGGAATCCCAGCGGAAACTGGCGCACGTGGTCCGTTTTGGGGCAAGCAAGTCTTCAATACCTGGATCTTTCCAACAACATGCAGTATATTTATGCCTTTTGGATCCTTTTGGATCCTTTTGGCTGGTTTTTTTGATGATAAAGTCAGAAGTTCAGAATAATTGAGTCAACTGGGAATGACACTCTTCAAAGACCAAGTCCTGAATGACTTCGAGAAGGAGTGGGATGCGGAATTTTTGGCTCGACCTCACCTCTAGGCATGTAGATCAAAACGAAATCAACATCGACCAAACATCAAAGCTTTCAGCTTATTTGGGGGGACCCCAAAAGCCATATGCCCCCACAGGGCAGCCGGCATCGAAGGTGTATGAACGAAAGAACCGCATTCCTCGTGCGTTCACCCCACCCCGTGGTCCATTCCCTCGGACCAGTCGGCCGAATGTGCGACCCAACGAGGTCTCCCAGCTGACGACCAACCCCCAAATCTCGTCGTTGGCCCCAAATCCCTCCAGACCGGGCAATCGCGCGGGCAATCCGCGGTTCGGTTTTGAAACCATGCACATGCGCCATGTTATAGCCTGTTTAATCAGTTTTTCTTCGGGTGGGTCGTTCGGGTCGTTTGGGTGGCCGACTTTTTGGGGATGACAGGATTCCGGTTTCCTTCGAAAGCGCTGTGCTCGAGACCCGAGCCGCAGGGCTTTGGAGGGCCATCAAAAACACGGGAACGACCTGGTGTTATGTAAAATCATTAATAAGTAACACGAAACATGATAAACATGTTTGTTCGGGATTCAGCTTATGACATGAGTGGTGGGCAAGGAATCCGTCACGGATTTATATATCGTAAACAGTCAACACCCACGGCCGCGGGGCTCTTTTTTTTTGGGATGTGGTTGGTCCTTCTTTCTTGAGTGTGATTTCACATCACTGTTGGCCCACGACGGGCTGGATGTCTCATTTGCAATCACCTGGAACCCCAAACAACCATATCCTATGTAAAGGATTTCAATTGCCATATTGGAACAACCATTTGTTTCTGGTTGTTTGGGGTTCCAGGCACATGTTGGAGTTGGAGCATCACCCATGTTTTCGTTTCGTTTGAGCCGAGTATGGTGGAACCCCCCTGGATCGGCGCCATGGGCTGGGATTCCGCGGATCTTCGGAACCTCGGTGGAACTTTCCACTTTTCCGGCGCCCAGGAAGTCCACCCATTTGCTTTGAAGGGTGATCTTCCTGTGTTGAACTCCTGCGCCGTGGTCTCACCCTCAAATGATCCTTCGATCAGTGCCGAACTTTTCGGCGCAGTGCCACCGCCGAGACGGAGCGACGTCACCCATCGCACGAGATGACCATAGCCGGACGATGTGCTCCGGTGGATGCGAAAACCACAAGAGCTGCGAAGAAGAGAAATTCTTTTCTGGTTGAGCCCTGTTGACGTATTTTGGGATGTTTTTGGGGAAAGACACGTGGGGTCTGCACTTGTCCGAAGACGAGAGCCATTGGTCAGAGAGTGGCCCGAAGCCAATCACCCGAAGGGTAGAGATGCTCCTTCTTTCACCCGAGGTCCAAGAGAGGTTCGAAGATGTTACTGTTAGAACAGCTTAGAAGTGACCTTTTCAAGTAGACCTGTCACCTGGGTTCTGCCGATCTCTGGCATTGGTACGCTCAACTGGTTTGACATAGTGTCTGACTTCTCGCATCGACACGCGGATCGGGAGCTTTAACTTCTCCCAGAATTGGTTTAAGGATGTTTATCAGGGAGAATCTACAGGAACGCTGTATAGTTTTTGCGGTAAAACCAAGGGTTTCCTG